GTGCTGTGATGAGCTTTGCTTCATTCTTGGGAAACTTCAAATCATAGCCTTTTCTAACAGACCAATATCTAATCACGTCCTTGAATTTCGCTCTGCATGGGAATTTCTAACTAACTTTCAGCTCAAAACTTGACATATCAGTATTATCATTCCATTCATCAGGCTCTTGAAAGCAGTTGTCATCATCCTCAGCCTCACTGTACCAATCTTCTTCTCTAGCCCTTTTGAAACCTTCAGCTTTTTCTCTTGCTTTTTTTTTTTTCTGCTTTCCTTTTTGTTTCATCCATTCTCTTGCCCTCTTGTGTATATTCTTAGCATGATCACGACCCCTCTGTTGGAATATGTCATCATCATCAGGGCCTTCTAGATCTTCCAATTTCCATTCAGATAATTCAGAGGACTCACCACTACCTTCTTCAGGTTCATACTCTGAATCCTCTGAACCTCTGAATCTCCAAAATGATGTTCTGCCTCCTCATCTTATTGTGCCCCCTCAGCTTGTTGGTCTGCCCCCTCACCTTGTTGTTCTGCCCCCTCAGCTTGTTGTTCATCCTCTTGGCCAACTGTCTGAGATCTATCTTCACCATGTTGTGCTTCAGCTTCATTAAATGGCTCATCTCATTGACCAGTACCATCATGTGAAACAGCATCATGTCTCTCTTATGTAGGATCCACCTCATGAGAACCAACATCATAAGCATATTCTGTAGGATCCACCTCTGGTGGAACAACACCATCACCATCTTCTGTAAGATCCACCTCACCAACAGCATCTTGTTCTTCTTCAACTGATTGCAAATCATCCTCTTCTTGTGCTTCTTTATCACTCTGTTGTGGTGATGTTTGTTGATATCAATACATGTCAATTAGAATATCTTCTTCAGTCTGTGGATATTTAAGAAGTGGGATCTCTTCATGTGCATCCATCAGATTCCCATCAATGTCCAATTGTTGTATAGGGCCTTACAAATTCCCCTATATACTTCTTCACCAACTTCAAAATATCACTGTCACTGGCAATCTTCATGAACTTCTTTGTTGTTTGTAGAGTTTTTCCAGGCTTGTGTGAATAAATATTCACAATGGATGAGTTGCCACCTGCCTGCCTGTACACATCCATCAACTCAAACATGGACAACCTGTCCACATCATAGTAGTCAACTGCAACTCTTAGGCCACCAAAGTATGCGCAAATGGATGACATTTTATCTCCCCACCAACTCTAACATCAAATACAATAGCCATATTCTGCAAATCAACAAGTATGATATGATTAAAATATGAAATCAGGGAGCACAACATAAATAGAATACTATATGCATCAGCACTTCCTATGCAAGAGGGACCACAATTAAACAAACAACCAATACCATATCACAAAAGGACCCTACAAACAGCATCAATAACTTTTAGATTAAACAATTTCACAATGACCACAAATTCAACCTACAGAGAGGATAAATTAAACAACCATACCTTTACAGTTAAACAAAGAACAAAGACACATCACACATGACCACAAATTGTTCCAACAAACAACATCAATACATTTCAAAGTAAAAAATTTCACACAAGGACCACAATTCGACCTACAGACAATATAAAATAAATAACCCCAATTCCCCAAATCAGAAAGCCCTAATTTAAAAATCAAAAGCATGAAATTGACAAACAACTCTAACCTCCAAATCATAAGCTATCGACTTTCTCTACTTTAAAAATGAAGCTATCGAAACTCCCTAGTTTCCAAATTAGAAAACCCTAAATTTCAAATAAAAACCCCCTAATTTTCAAATCGGAAAACCCTAATTTTCAAATCAGAAGCTATCAACTTTCTCTACTTTGAAAATGAAGCTATCGAACCTCCCTAATTTTCAAATTAGAGAACCCTAAATTTCAAATCAAAAACCCACAATTTTCAAATCGACAAACCCTAATTTTCAAATAAAAAAACCCTAATTTTCAAATCAGAAGCTATCGACTTTCTCTACATTCAAAATGAAGTTATCGAGACTCCCTATTTTTCAAATTAGAAAACCCTAAATTCCAAATCAAAAAACCCTAATTTTCAAATTGAAAAACCGTAATTTTTCAAATCAGAAGATATCGACTTTTTAGAATTTTCCAAATGAAGCAATCGACTTTCCCAATTTTAAAATCACAAGCACGACACTTCACTTGACCAAAAATCCTATTTTCCAAAACACATAGCATAAGAACCCTAACTTCAGGAATGCAACTATCAGCTTTCAATGTAATAAGCTTTAATCGTCGAGGATTCGAAAAGTACCTTATGCGCCACCAATATATGTCTTCGAGAAGAAAGAATTTCGCTGCAAAGAGAACCCTAGATTTGTTGGAATATCGAAGAATACTCCTCAATCGGCTTCAACATTGAAGATAAATAACAGATCTGTTATGCGCCATCGATACTTTTACAAATTAATAGTTGAAAATCAGGAAAATTTTGGACAATCGTGGTGAAGAAATTTGGGATTTTTTCAGGGAGAGAGAGAGAGATAATAGAGAGAGAACGATTTCAAAGTTAGAATATTTTCTGTTTCAAATGGGACCGACTTCTCAAATGACAAGGGCATAACGGATATTTGACAAAAATGTAACGGTATTAGCACCCAGACGTAAGTTGGAGAGCATATGCTGGGCAAAGTACAATACAAGGGGGCTTGATGCAATTTTTAAAATACAGGGGGATAACGCGCGGATTTAGTATAATACAAGGGGGTTTGGTGCAATTAACCCCTTTCATGGTCTGTAGCTAATTTAATTAATTAAAGTGATTTCTGGGCAGAAACGTGTTAAATGCATAATAAATTGAGTCGTGATCTAAAATTGATGAAATTTGAATATGTTGTCTCTCTGCCTGATTTAGACCTTGTGTAAAAGTTTCAGAATTTATGGACTCTGTTAGCTTAGGTAAATAATTTATTTTGTGATTCTGCCGAAAATTGTTTCAATTATGATAAAGTGATCTCATGCTGAAAAATTCTTATTTTTGGTTGAAGTGCTAATTTTGTAATGTGTTTCATGCTGTAAAAATATTGGAATTTTTAGAGTTCGTTTAGGTTCAGTTCTGTTGAAAATCTAAAATCTGCTGGATGTTGTTACAATTTTATTAATTCGAGTGTTAGGTGTTTAAAGGTGATATTTTTACACACTGTTATTCACATGTTGATGTTCCTTGGATAAAAATTCAGAGTTTGAATCATTCATTCAGTTGGGTTTTAAATTGATGCTCGTTTTTGCTGTAAACTTGTCTGAATTTTATAAGATAGTATACTTTGAGTTTGGGGCTAAAACTTTGTGGTCTTACTAAGTTCTGGGAGGTGAATTTTTGGTTAAAATTTCAAAGCCTAACTCATTCGATAACCTAACCAAATTATGTGAATTATCGGCTTTTATTTCAAAAATGTAGTTTTTGTGTTAAAAGCTACAAGCCGGTTCACTCGTTGTGTTTGAGACTTGTTTTGAATATCTCTTATATGGCATTGCGTGAACTTTCATGTTTAGTAGAGTCTGAGTCTAAGTGTTCCACCGTCCACAGGACTTCACGAACAACTTAGTCGAATCAAGTTCGGCTAAGTCTGATTTGTGTTTTTCGTTTAAGTTAAGATAGATATTGATTACAGGATCTTGACTTAATGTAGGTGTTTGAGAAGTCAAGCCTCGACCTACGACCTTTCGGATTTTTGCTTTGGTCAATCCGAACATCCAGGTGGGTTTTATTTAAAATTCGCTATGCTGTAAATGTTATAAATGTATAATTTGTAGTATGATCAATGAATGCATGTGAACCATGTAGCCTTCGATGTGAGCTGTATCGGCCGTCGAACGGTTATCCCCGTAGCTATAGAACGTACCCGATGGGTAGTCTCCTTTATTTATGTATGGCTGTAAGACCGAGGTGGGCCCTCAGCTGGTGATCCCCGTTTGTAAGACCAATTCGTAGGTCTTGGCTGGCAGGGTGGATTACTCCTACTGGCTGGGCATCGTTGTAAGACCAAGGCGTAGGTTTTGGCATTCGAATCGAGTATCAGCAGTAGTCTATGCGTAGGTGTGCATATGAGGGTTGACTCTGGGATAGGAGATGGGATGATTAATTGATTCATATACATGCTGCGACCATACCTGACTTATTTATGATTACTGCTTTGTATATTGATTAATGCTTACTGCATAGTGGTGAGCACTACGATTTTCAACTGTACTTATCCCCACCTGAAATTAACGTTTCAGGTTAAGTAAGGCGGGTACGACGGCGGAGTTAAGCAAGTGGTAGTAGGTCTATGAGACCGGTTATTTATTGGTTATGCTTCCGCTATATTTATGACTATTTATGATTGATGAATTTTCAAACTCTGAGATTTTGTGAAGTGTTGAAACACTATTGGGGAGATGCCCCGTTGACATTGTTATGTCTCGAAACTTGTTCTTTATTTTGGGAAACCGATATGGGCGAATTGATGATTTATGGATTTATGAACCCCATTTTGGGAGTTAGATGATTTTTGTTATGAAATAGATTTTATGTCATAGAAATTATTTGAAATAATTGAGTAACACCACAAATGCTTGAAATAAATTTTGAAAAATTTAAATTGATTTTTCTGAAAGTCCGGAATTTCTTTAAAATCAAATTGGGGCGTTACAGGTAATATGTTATTTATTGCAAAAAAAAAAATTAAAAAAGGCAAGGCGGTTTTGGGCATGGGTCGCAAACCAGTGGCAAGAATAATAAAAAATGTTAAAATAAAGTATACTTTTATTTTATTCCTTAAAAAATGTTAAAATCTGCTGTCATTTTCGTCGTGTTAAAACAAAGTAAACTTTTATTTTTATTCCGTAAAAAATGTTAAAAATATTAACAAAATGGAATCATATTCAAAATTGAGTACTTACAAACTTGAAATGTATTTTAGCAGCGGTGGACTCATGGTTTTCAAATAGTGGCTTATCAAATACAAATATATTATGTTATAGATTCACCACACTACTAAACATATATCTTTTAAATGAACAGACTCTATCATTAAATAAATAAGAATATTAAATTTTAAAGAAAATTACTGGATACATTCATCCCACCTATCCATAATGAAGACAATAAAAATTTGCATTTGTCCTCAATAAATCGGTTAGGTCACTATGAAACTCCATAGCATTTGGCATCAAAATAAATCACCTCTATCATGCAAGTATCACATCTCACGCGCAAGTTAATTATGCAAAGATATATGGTGAAAATTTGAATTTTACTTTTTGTTTGACCTTCTAACCTAAATAATAATAATAATAATAATAATAATAATAATAATAATAATATAGGTACCTATAGCCTTCTAAGAAATGTACCAATATATATCATACTATTGAGAACTCTACTTGAAGTTGTATTTTTAAAATAGGGAGGTGCTCAAACGAGAAATTAAAAAAAAAAAGGAGTACATTTTTTATTCATTTCCACCTGAAATTATTTCATTAAGCAAGCTCTCTTTCAAGGAGTACATTACTTTTTTTCTTTTTATTTTCACCTGAAATTTATTCAAAGATTATAGGTTACACCTCATTCTTTTATTCTTAGTAAAGGACACGAGCTGTGTGTACCACTCCAGGACCTTCACAACCGCGGTGTAGTTCCCGTCAACACCGCAACTGTTCCTGACAGCTGTGGTGCAATTCCCGTAATCGGTGGCTTCTTCAAACAGTGCGTACTCAAGTCCCGATTCTGCCTGTTTGAAGCCGCTGAACAATTGTTTGAATACCAGGTTCGTTTTTTTCTTTATGTTGTGCTCGTCCACTGTGTAATTTGCAAGCTCAACCATGTAGTCGCTCTCGATATCATCCAGCGTGAGAGGAATCCAACGGTCGCAGCCGCTGCCGCCGATTTTTTTGTGGGAGGCTATATTTCGTACGAAAAACAACATATTCAACAATATCAATGAAAATAGGAAATATCGAGATATGAGAGGCATATTTTCTTAATTTCTTTTATTCTTTTTACTATAATATTTTTTTCTTTTTTTGTTTCTCGTTGGTGTGTGTGGTGTAGGAGTAAAATGCTATTTATAGAAATAAAAATTTTGAAAAGACAAGGCGGTTTTGGCCAATGGTTGCAAACCAGCGGCGCAAACTATGTAATCTATGGTTATTTTCGTCGTGTTATTTCGTAAAGAAATGGTAAAAATATTTACAAAATGGAAAAATGGAATAATTACAAACTTAAAATGTATTTTAGCAGCGGTGGACTCATGGTTTTCAAATAGAGTGTTATCAAATACAAACATATTGAGGTATAGATTCACCACACTACTCAACATGTACCTTTTGTCTATGTGGTTCTAGTTAAAATATTAGTGATCGTGAAAAAAAAAAAAAAATAACGACATATTGTCACTAATTTTTTGTTTAAGCACTGCAAATATAAAATTTTAGCAAAGAACAAAGTTGAGACAAATAACAAAGTCAAAAATAAATTTTTGCAACTACATGCTTAATGTTTTACATGTTTAATCACTTTGTAATTACATATATTTGTGATGTGCTAGGAACATGATATGAAATTATTGAATAATAGTTTTATTATCATTTTTTTCTTCAAAAAATTAGAACCCAACAAGAATTAAATCTATCAATTTTCATTTGGTCATCAAATCAATTTCTTTTATTTTTTTTTATAAATTGTTGGTGCAATATATATTTATTTTTTATGATTTGCTTTTTCAAAAATGTTTAGATTTGAAAAAGGGTGAAAAACAAACGTTGAAATGGGACAAATATATAAATTCCTATATTATCGCCCTTATATTTAATTTTCGAATGCACTGACATATCTTGTAAAAATAAATTTGAATTTTAAACCAACGAATCATACTTTCTAAATAATAGGTCCAATGAATGTCATATATTTTTAACATGATGATGTAAATCATAATAAAGATTTTTCTACTAAAAGTAGATTTTGTGTTTTGACTTAAGTGAATTAAAGAAATGTTTAAGATGGATTTGTGTATTCAAAGATGCTCTTAGGTGTGATATAGTGTGCTCGACAAGATCAATAAAAGTACCAAATAGCGAGATTCGAGGGGCTTGTTTTCTTTATTTCTTTCCTTTTACTATTTTTTATTTTTTCTTTTGGGGTTTCTCGTTGGTGTGTGTGGTGTAGGAGTAAAATGCTATTTATAGAAATAAAAATTTTGAAAAGACAAGGCGGTTTTGACCAATGGTTGCAAACCAGCGGCGCAAACTATGTAATCTATGGTTATTTTCCTCGTGTTATTTCGTAAAGAAAAATGGAAAAATGGAATAATTACAAACTTAACATGTATTTTAGCAGCGGTGGACTCATGGTTTTCAAATAGATCGTTATCAAATACAAACATATTGAGGTATAGATTCACCACACTACTCAACATGTACATTTTGTCTATGTGGTTCTAGTTAAAATATTAGTGATCGTGAAAAAAAAAAAAATAACGACATATTGTCACTAATTTTTTGTTTAAGCACTGCAAATATAAAATTTTAGCAAAGAACAAAGTTGAGACAAATAACAAAGTCAATAATAAATTTTTGCAACTACATGCTTAATGTTTTACATGTTTAATCACTTTGTAATTACATATATTTGTGATGTGCTAGGAACATGATATGAAATTATTGAATAATAGTTTTATTATCATTTTTTTCTTCAAAAAATTAGAACCCAACAAGAATTAAATCTATCAATTTTCATTTGGTCATCAAATCAATTTCTTTTATTTTTTTTTATTTATAAATTGTTGGTGCAATATATATTTATTTTTTATGATTTGCTTTTTAAAAAATGTTTAGATTTGAAAAAGGGTGAAAAACAAAAGTTGAAATGGGACAAATATATAAATTCCTATATTATCGCCTTTATATTTAATTTTCGAATGCACTGACATATCTTGTAAAAATAAATTTGAATTTTAAACCAACGAATCATACTTTCTAAATAATAGGTCCAATGAATGTCATATATTTTTAACATGATGATGTAAATCATAATAAAGATTTTTCTACTAAAAGTAGATTTTGTGTTTTGACTTAAGTGAATTAAAGAAATGTTTAAGATGGATTTGTGTATTTAAAGATGCTCTTAGGTGTGATATAGTGTGCTCGACAAGATCAATGAAAGTACCAAATAGCGATATTCGAGGGGCTTGTTTTCTTTATTTTCTTTCCTTTTACTATTTTTTATTTTTTCTTTTGGGGTTTCTCGTTGGTGTGTGGTGTGGGGGAAAAATATTATTTATATTAATAAAAAGCTTGAAAAGGTAGGGTTACAAACTAGCAACGCAAACAATCATCGTAATCCACTGTTAAAAAATATACTTATTACTTTATTCCATAAAAAATTTACAAATATTAACAAAATGTAATAACTACAAACTTTAAAAGTATTTTAGCAGCGGCAGACTCATGATTTTCAAATAGAGGCTACAAATTTACAGACATAAATATGTGGGGGAATATAAAATACGCAAATATGTATTTAAACGCGAAAGTAAAAGCGAAAGCAATATGTCCAATAAAAATTATTTTTGGGGAGTGTCTCATTACTCCTCATAACTCTTTCATTACTAGATCGGTATGCGGACACAGAGTATAGGTGGTACTTATAAGATGCGGGCTCCCTCCTAGTCTAACAAATACTATACCCAACTTTGTTAATTACTCATCTACCACAACGCGATGACTTTGAAATAGCTATGGATCCCTCCTAGCTACAAACGTACTTATCCTAAGTACTCAAACGTGTTTGTAAACAAAAAAATGAAACAAGTTCTTCAGTGATGTAAGAACATTGAATCACTGTAAATAAATGAAAGAACAAAATGCAAAAGCTCACGAACACTCAATAAAGTCTAAAACGATAAAATAAGTTATTTTAGCATCCTTTCAACGAGTCTTCGATCATGTCTATATACATACACCTCAAGGGTAAGGGGTCTTCACATTGCCATGTATTGACTTCTTTCCTTGTGGAGTTGATTTCCTTCCAAATTATCTTCCTCAAGACTTGAACACGATCAATTCCTTATTTTTTTCTTGGTGTGTAACCCTTTTTTTAGAGTAAGTTTCCTTCAAGTAGAATTCGTGTATGTGATTTGGAGATCTTCAAAATTGTGTTTCCAAAACCGTGCAAGAACTCGACTTTCTTAAATAGCTAGTTTTCCAAATCTAAGAGATCATGCGATGAATCTTATCAAATCCTCCTTAGATGTACTAAAAAATGTCCAGGATCCTTTATGTATTGGAAGATCACCCTTTTATAGTCCTTGCCATATATTCCTTGTAGTACAAGAGAGAAAAAACTAATTACGGCATAGAATCTAATTCTTAATGCATGTATATGGTAAGTGAATATATATAAGATATATTATGTAATCCTTTTAAAGGAACAGGAAACCATAGTACATAGTATAATAAATATATACTGAATATTTTTAATAATAAAATCTAGGAACTTAATTAATTTACACGTAAATAAATAGAAAGTTTCTCTTTAATTTATTTTCTTTGTCTAACAAGAAAATTTTCTAGAAAACACTTAGAATTTTCTTAAAGAGATGAATCTTTGAGCATCTCGTGTTTTCGTAAAAATATCAACGAATTAGTCCGGTCTTGTGACATTAAAGAATAATCACTTCAGCCTTAACTTGATTTTTAATAAAAAGTAACGTATATCAATGTGCTTCATACAAGAGTGTTGAACAAGATTTCTAGAGATATTAATTGCACTAGTATTGTCACAGTATATATATATACATATATATATATATTTTACCTCAAAAGCAAAATTTGAGCATCATCTGTTTCATCCACACTAACGGAGAGTAATAACTTCCAAAAGAGATATACTCTGTTGTAGCGCCCCGTTAGATTTATAGAATTTCTCGGGTAATTCTATTTATCGAATATTATTTATAAGGTTATATCTATTTTGTTAGTCGCGATGTCGACTTAAATATGAGGTTGGAGTACTCGATCGTTTTATTGAAAACGTTCGTTGTACGGCGATTTCAGTTCAATCGCGTGAACCGAATAAAATCCGTTTGAATAATGGATTTTTCGGATATATTGGCATTATAATTTATTTTATTAAATTGCCAAAGTAAATAATTTCTTGATAATATATTTATTATTCGATGTTAATAAATATATTAATGTCGGTTTTGTAAATTTAAAAGTTTACGGGTCGTCATACTTTATTTCGAGTGTTATATTTGTATTTTATAAAATTAAGCCCGATAAACCGGTAGTCGAAACCGACTGATTCGTAAACCCGTTTTTTTATGAAGTATTTGGGATTATTATTATTATTATTATTATTATTATTATTATGGTTATTATTATTTTATTTAAATGCCTAATTGTCAATTAAATGCTTAAATGTGTATTATTATTTTATAATTAATGTGTGTATAATTAATATCCGTTTTTATTTTAATCGTCGATTGATCGAAAATCGAGCCCGAGAGTTGGATTATTCTGGCGAAACCCTAGTGCAAATCGGCCCAACCGAACTGGCCCGTGAGCCGTTAACCCGCCCACTTGAACCGACCCGCCCAAGACCCACTTTCTCTAATCTGTGCGTGTGAAATTCTTGTGGGTCAAGAATTTTTTTTAAACCAAGTATTCCATATATATATATAAATGTTGTATCTATTTCTCCTCTCATCTCTCTCGGTTTAGCAGTCCCGCAGCCTTTCTTCCTTGTCCCAAATCTGAATCTCGATCACGCGTTCAGAGTAGAGAGATAAGAGAAAGTCCTTCGCTTATTTTTTTTTTCTTTTTCGTTCATCATCACCCTCTCGACAGATTTTTCGCATCATCGTCCTCTCATCCCCCTCGCCATAACCAGTCCGATCAACCCCTCCTTCATCACTTTCTTCTCGCCATCACCTCATTCGCCGTGAACAACCGCCGCCTACAACTCCGGCGATTCACGCGCAGCACCCCACAAGCAACCACCGTGAGCCGCTGCACCTCCGACATCCGCGACAGCAGCCAGCCGACGCCGCCTCCCCGTCGTGAACCAGCCGCGCCTTTTTGCTCGCGAACTTCCCTCCTCAGTCGCAGACGAGCAGCAAGTCGCTGCTCCTTTCCGGCGAGCACTCCGCCATCGCAGCAATCCTCCTCTGGCGACCCCAGCAGCGAGCAACCTCCGGCGAGCCTTCCTTCGCCGTCTGCTGCTCCCGGTCTCAAGCATCAAGCGCCGCAGCAACTGAGCAGCCAAGAACAGCCGCTGCTGCACCTCCTTTCCCGGCGAGACGCGAGAATCCGTCGAGTCCGTCATCCCCGTTCGTCTTTTTCGTTCTGTTTTTCCTTTTTCCCGAGAACGGTACCTAGTCGATCTCGTCTCGTTTAAACCGTTTATATATTAATTGCTTATCGCGTTTGAATGACGTGATGTGCTCTTGCGATTTAATATACGTGATATGATGTTTTGTGAAGTGTGATTTTATGTGTGTCGTTTGGGCATGGGTCGCAAACTAGTGGCAAGAATAATAAAAAATGTTAAAATAAAGTAAACTTTTATTATATTCCTTAAAAAATGTTAAAATCTGCTGTCATTTTCGTCGTGTTAAAACAAAGTAAACTTTTATTTTTACTCCATAAAAAATGTTAAAAATATTAACAAAATGGAATCATATTCAAAATTGAATAATTACAAACTTGAAGTGTATTTTAGCAGCGGTGGACTCATGGTTTTCCAATAGTGGCTTATCAAATACAAATATATTATGTTATAGATTCACCACACTACTAAACATATATCTTTTAAATGAACAGACTCTATCATTAAATAAATAAGAATATTAAATTTTAAAGAAAATTACTGGATACATTCATCCCACTATCCATAATGAAGACAATAAAAATTTGCATTTGTCCTCAATAAATCGGTTAGGTCACTATGAAACTCCATAGCATTTTGCATCAAAATAAATCACCTCTACCATGCAAGTATCACATCTCACGCGCAAGTTAATTACGCAAAGATATATGGTGAAAATTTGAATTTTACTTTTTGTTTGACCTTCTAACCTAAATAATAATAATAATAATAATAATAATAATAATAATAATAATAATAATAATAATAATAATATAGGTACCTATAGCCTTCTAAGAAATGTACCAATATATATCATACTATTGAGAACTCTACTTGAAGTTGTATTTTTAAAATAGGGAGGTGCTCAAACGAGAAATTAAAAAAAAAAAGGAGTACATTTTTTATTCATTTCCACCTGAAATTATTTCATTAAGCAAGCTCTCTTTCAAGGAGTACATTACTTTTTTTTCTTTTTATTTTCACCTGAAATTTATTCAAAGATTATAGGTTACACCTCATTCTTTTATTCTTAGTAAAGGACACGAGTTGTGTGTACCACTCCAGGACCTTCACGACCGCGTGTAGTTCCCGTCAACACCGCAGCTGTTCCTGACAGCTGTGGTGCAATTCCCGTAATCGGTGGCTTCTTCAAACAGTGCGTACTCAAGTCCCGAGTCTGCCTGTTTGAAGCCGCTGAACAATTGTTTGAATACCAGATTCGTTTTTTTCTTTATGTTTTGCTCGTCCACTGTGTAATTTGCGAGCTCAACCATGTAGTCGCTCTCGATATCATCCAGCGTGAGAGGAATCCAACGGTCGCAGCCGCTGCCGCCGCTTTTTTAGTGGGAGGCTATATTTCGTACGAAAAACAACATATTCAACAATATAAATGAAAATAGGAAATATCGAGATATGAGAGGCATATTTTCTTAATTTCTTTTATTCTTTTTACTATAATTTTTTTTTCTATTTTTGTTTCTCGTTGGTGTGTGTGGTGTAGGAGTAAAATGCTATTTATAGAAATAAAAATTTTGAAAAGACAAGGCGGTTTTGACCAATGGTTGCAAACCAGCGGCGCAAACTATGTAATCTATGGTTATTTTCGTCGTGTTATTTCGTAAAGAAATGGTAAAAATATTAACAAAATGGAAAAATGGAATAATTACAAACTTAAAATGTATTTTAGCAGCGGTAGACTCATGGTTTTCAAATAGAGTGTTATCAAATACAAACATATTGAGGTATAGATTCACCACACTACTCAACATGTACCTTTTGTCTATGTGGTTCTAGTTAAAATATTAGTGATCGTGAAAAAAAAAAAAAAATAACGACATATTGTCACTAATTTTTTGTTTAAGCACTGCAAATATAAAATTTTAGCAAAGAACAAAGTTGAGACAAATAACAAAGTCAAAAATAAATTTTTGCAACTACATGCTTAATGTTTTACATGTTTAATCACTTTGTAATTACATATATTTGTGATGTGCTAGGAACATGATATGAAATTATTGAATAATAGTTTTATTATCATTTTTTTCTTCAAAAAATTAGAACCCAACAAGAATTAAATCTATCAATTTTCATTTGGTCATCAAATCAATTTCTTTTATTTTTTTTTATAAATTGTTGGTGCAATATATATTTATTTTTTATGATTTGCTTTTTCAAAAATGTTTAGATTTGAAAAAGGGTGAAAAACAAACGTTGAAATGGGACAAATATATAAATTCCTATATTATCGCCCTTATATTTAATTTTCGAATGCACTGACATATCTTGTAAAAATAAATTTGAATTTTAAACCAACGAATCATACTTTCTAAATAATAGGTCCAATGAATGTCATATATTTTTAACATGATGATGTAAATCATAATAAAGATTTTTCTACTAAAAGTAGATTTTGTGTTTTGACTTAAGTGAATTAAAGAAATGTTTAAGATGGATTTGTGTATTCAAAGATGCTCTTAGGTGTGATATAGTGTGCTCGACAAGATCAATAAAAGTACCAAATAGCGAGATTCGAGGGGCTTGTTTTCTTTATTTCTTTCCTTTTACTATTTTTTATTTTTTCTTTTGGGGTTTCTCGTTGGTGTGTGTGGTGTAGGAGTAAAATGCTATTTATAGAAATAAAAATTTTGAAAAGACAAGGCGGTTTTGACCAATGGTTGCAAACCAGCGGCGCAAACTATGTAATCTATGGTTATTTTCCTCGTGTTATTTCGTAAAGAAAAATGGAAAAATGGAATAATTACAAACTTAACATGTATTTTAGCAGCGGTGGACTCATGGTTTTCAAATAGATCGTTATCAAATACAAACATATTGAGGTATAGATTCACCACACTACTCAACATGTACCTTTTGTCTATGTGGTTCTAGTTAAAATATTAGTGATCGTGAAAAAAAAAAAAATAACGACATATTGTCACTAATTTTTTGTTTAAGCACTGCAAATATAAAATTTTAGCAAAGAACAAAGTTGAGACAAATAACAAAGTCAAAAATAAATTTTTGCAACTACATGCTTAATGTTTTACATGTTTAATCACTTTGTAATTACATATATTTGTGATGTGCTAGGAACATGATATGAAATTATTGAATAATAGTTTTATTATCATTTTTTTCTTCAAAAAATTAGAACCCAACAAGAATTAAATCTATCAATTTTCATTTGGTCATCAAATAAATTTCTTTTATTTTTTTTTATAAATTGTTGGTGCAATATATATTTATTTTTTATGATTTGCTTTTTAAAAAATGTTTAGATTTGAAAAAGGGTGAAAAACAAAAGTTGAAATGGGACAAATATATAAATTCCTATATTATCGCCTTTATATTTAATTTTCGAATACACTGACATATCTTGTAAAAATAAATTTGAATTTTAAACCAACGAATCATACTTTCTAAATAATAGGTCCAATGAATGTCATATATTTTTAACATGATGATGTAAATCATAATAAAGATTTTTCTACTAAAAGTAGATTTTGTGTTTTGACTTAACTGAATTAAAGAAATGTTTAAGATGGATTTGTGTATTCAAAGATACTCTTAGGTGTGATATAGTGTGCTCGACAAGATCAATGAAAGTACCAAATAGCGATATTCGAGGGGCTTGTTTTCTTTATTTTCTTTCCTTTTACTATTTTTTATTTTTTCTTTTGGGGTTTCTCGTTGGTGTGTGGTGTGGGGGAAAAATATTATTTATATTAATAAAAAGCTTGAAAAGGTAGGGTTACAAACTAGCAACGCAAACAATCATCGTAATCTACTGTTAAAAAATATACTTATTACTTTATTCCATAAAAAAGTTACAAATATTAACAAAATGTAATAACTACAAACTTTAAAAGTATTTTAGCAGCGGCAGACTCATGATTTTCAAATAGAGGCTACAAAATTACAGACATAAATATGTGGGGGAATATAAAATACGCAAATATGTATTTAAACGCGAAAGTAAAAGCAAAAGCAATATGTCCAATAAAAATTATTTTTGGGGAGTGTCTCATTACTCCTCATAACTCTTTCATTACTAGATCGGTATGCGGACACAGAGTATAGGTGGTACTTATAAGATGCGGACTCCCTCCTAGTCTAACCAATACTATACCCAACTTTGTTAATTACTCATCTACCACAACGCGATGACTTCGAAATAGCTATGGATCCCTCCTAGCTACAAACGTACTTATCCTAAGTACTCAAACGTGTTTGTAAGCAAAAAAATGAAACAAGTTCTTCAGTGATGTAAGAACATTGAATCACTGTAAATAAATGAAAGAACAAAATGCAAAAGCTCACGAACACTCAATAAAGTCTAAAACGATAAAATCAGTTATTTTAGCATCCTTTCAACGAATCTTCGATCATGTCTATATACATACACCTCAAGGGTAAGGGGTCTTCACATTGCCATGTATTGACTTCTTTGCTTGTGGAGTTGATTTCCTTCCAAATTATCTTCCTCAAGACTTGAACACGATCAATTCCTTATTTTTTTCTTGGTGTGTAACCCTTTCTTTAGAGTAAGTTTCCTTCAAGTAGAATTCGTGTATGTGATTTGGAGATCTTCAAAATTGTGTTTCCAAAACCGTGCAAGAACTCGACTTTCTTAAATAGCTAGTTTTCCAAATCTAAGAGATCATGCGATGAATCTTATCAAATCCTCCTTAGATGTACTAAAAAATGTCCAGGATCCTTTATGTATTGGAAGATCACCCTTTTATAGTCCTTGCCATATATTCCTTGTCGTACAAGAGAGAAAAAACTAATTACGGCATAGAATCTAATTCTTAATGCATGTATATGGTAAGTGAATATATATAAGATATATTATGTAATCCTTTTAAAGGAACAGGAAACCATAGTACATAGTATAATAAATATATACTAAATATTTTTAATAATAAAATCTAGGAACTTAATTAATTTACAAGTAAATAAATAGAAAGTTTCTCTTTAATTTATTTTCTTTGTCTAACAAGAAAATTTTCTAGAAAACACTTAGAATTTTCTTAAAGAGATGAATCTTTGAGCATCTCGTGTTTTCGTAAAAATATCAACGAATTAGTCCGGTCTTGTGACATTAAAGAATAATCACTTCATCCTTAACTGGATTTTTAATAAAAAGTAATGTATATCAATGTGCTTCATACAAGATGTTGAACAAGATTTCTAGAGATATTAATTGCACTAGTATTGTCACAGTATATATATACATATATATTTTACCTCAAAAGCAAAATTTGAGCATCATCTGTTTCATCCACACTAACGGAGAGTAATAACTTCCAAAAGAGATATACTCGGTTGTAGCGCCCCGTTAGATTTATAGAATTTCTCGGGTAATTCTATTTATCGAATATTATTTATAAGGTTATATCTATTTTGTTAGTCGCGATGTCGACTTAAATATGAGGTTGGAGTACTCGATCGTTTTATTGAAAACGTTCGTTGTACGGCGATTTCGGTTGAATCGCGTGAACCGAATAAAATCCGTTTGAATAATGGATTTTTCGGATATATTGGCATTATAATTTATTTTATTAAATTGCCAAAGTAAATAATTTCTTGATAATATATTTATTATTGGATGTTAATAAATATATTAATGTCGGTTTTGTAAATTTAAAAGTTTACGGGTCGTCATACTTTATTTCGAGTGTTATATTCGGATTTTATAAAATTGAGCCCGATAAACCGGTAGTCGAAACCGGCTGATTCGTAAACCCGTTTGTTTACGAAGTATTTGGGATTATTATTATTATTATTTTTATTATGGTTATTATTATTTTATTTAAATGCCTAATTGTCAACTAAATGCTTAAATGTGTATTATTATTTTATAATTAATGTGTGTATAACTAATATCCATTTTTATTTTAATCGTCGATTGATCGAAAATCGAGCCCGAGAGTTGGATTATTCTGGCGAAACCCGAGTGCAAATCGGCCCAACCGAACTGGCCCGTGAGCCGTTATCCCGCCCACTTGAACAGACCCGCCCAAGACCCACTTTCTCTAATCTGTGCGTGTGAAATTCTTGTGGGTCAAGAATTTTTTTTAAACCAAGTATTTCATATATATATATAAATGTTGTATCTATTTCTCCTCTCATCTCTCTCGGTTTAGCAGTCCCGCAGCCTTTCTTCCTTGTCCCAAATCTAAATCTCGATCACGCGTTCAGAGTAGAGAGAAAAGAGAAAGTCCTTCGCTTATTTTTTTTTCTTTTCCGTTCATCATCACCCTCTCGACAGATTTTTCCCATCATCGTCCTCTCATCCCCCTCGCCATAACCAGTCCGATCAACCCCTCCTTCATCACTTTCCTCTCGCCATCACCTCATTCGCCGTGAACAACCGCCGCCTACAACTCCGGCGATTCACGTGCAGCACCCTGCAAGCAAC